TTAACTCTGTTTTCTCCTCCACAGATGCTGCCAGACCTGCTGAGCTTTTCCAGGAACTTTGTTTATGTTACTGATACTGCTCATTTCTTCCATAAACTTGCAACGGTAAACATCCAGGAATAGATTATCAGTCTCCAGTCTAGGCAAATTTTGAAGATAATTCTGTGCAGGTATATCATAGAATCCCTACAGTGTGGAATCAGGATATTCGGCCCATCAAGTCCACACCGACCCTCTGAAAAGCGTCCTACCAGGCCCACCCTATTCCTGTGACCCTGATTTCCCATTGGCTAATCCACCTAGCCTGCACATACCTGGACACTATGGGCAATTTAGCATGGCCAGTCCACCTAACCTGCATATCTTTGGACTGTGGGAGGAAAGCCACACAAACACTGGAAGAATGTGCAAACTCCACACAGATAGTCACCTGAGGGTGGAATTGAACTTGGGTCCCTGGTGCTGTGAGGCAGCAGTGCTAACCACTGAGCCACCGTGCTGCCCCAAGATGCTGGTATAATAGAAATCCGGAACCCCAGGTTAAAGTTTTGGTTTTACAGGTTGAAATTCCTGTTTGGTGAATTCCAGATGGTGAAATTTGAATTCAATACAAATCTGGAACAAAAAGCTACCCTCACAATGACTATGCAACCATTATTAATTGTTGTTTAAAAAAAAATCCATCTGGGCTCCATCTCGTTCCCTAATATCCTTCAGGAAAGGAAATCTGCCACTCTTCCTTTGTCTGGCCTACACGTTTCTACAGATCCACAGCAATGTAGTTGACTGTTAACTGCACTCTGGGCATTAAGGATGAGCAACAAATTCTAATCTTTCTAGCAACGCCCACATCCCGTGAACAATTTTATTTAAAGGCTTTCCTTTTTTGTAGAAAGAAAGTCTTGTTGATGGTCTAAATTTCATTAATTGCTGGTGTTCAATACAACATCAAAATCAGTTGATCATTAGATTAGCACAAGATCAGCACTTTTTATATCTTTAGAAGTAAATTTTTTTTGACTAACCTCTGTAATATGATTTGTGGCACTTGCTCCTAATGCTTTGCTGTATATATTTCATGTATATGCACACACGTATATATCTTTTATCTGACATCAGCTCTACATCAGCCATTTGTTTGTACGTATCATACTACATGCTTTAAAAATATATCAATGACTCTTCATCATTTACATCCAGTTTCCACATCACCACCCATAATGACTACAGTAAGATATTTAGTTGATTTATTCAGTTGAATTAACTGGTGTGAATTGTGAAAGCAAAGCAATCTAAGAAAGAGCTACAGATATCTCAACAGCTTTTACAAAATGAAAGATGTAAACATCTCTAAGTAGATCTAATCAGTGCCAGAAACAAAAAAAAATTGAGACAATTGATTTTCAAGCCTTAGTGCCCTTCAAAGCTCCAGCTACGTTATTATCCAGTGGCATTTGCCTGTATTCAGTCATTATTAAGATAATCAGTTTCAAATGCATAATGTAATTATTTAAGCAACAGAAACATCTTAAAGTGCTGGGACAATCGGTTCATTGATCCAGTAAGGGACAGTGGAACTGCATTTGTGGCTTTGCATTTTTACAACATAAAATGTCACCTCCCAGTGAATCATTTGAGTTCATTTATTTTTCTTTTACAGGGAAGGTTGTAGATATTTATTCCAAATTTGATGTTATAGTAAGTACAATTCCTTTCACTTAAAATGCATGAATTTCTTTATCATATGCCTTCTGCAGCAGCTATAAAATATGCTGCTGTTCTGAATATAATTAGCCCATTCATTGTTAACTTCTTTGGCACTCGATTTTGAGGATACATTTCAGATGTTTTAAGAGATTGCAGGCTCAGTTACCAAACTGGATTTGACCAGAACCCAATTTGTTGACGACTGACATTGTGTTGAACTGTTAAACAATTATTTAGTTGCAGTTGATGCCACCCAATTTCTGTTTGGATTTTTGAGCAAATTGTAAAAATGAAAACAATGAATTGATCATGCTTATAAGTCAATTGAAGTTTCATACATTTTCTCTTAAACCTTAAACAATTTGAGCATTTCATATTAAACCAAGTTCATTTTCCCCGCTTAGAATCTTGCTGCTGAGAAGACATACAATAATCTGGATATCACTGTAACCCAGGCACTGCAACACCGCTCACAGTATTTTGAAGGGGTTGTGAAGTGTCACAGGCTGGAAGCACTGGAGACAACAGTGGACAGAATAGTCAAAGCTGAGGTAGGGACACATTTTAGACTCAACTTTGCATAGTATATAAAGAACGTGAAGAAGCCATTTGGCCTAAGAGGTCCCTGCAGTGTTTATGTTCCACAGGGAGCCTCCTCCTACCACTCTTCATCTAACTATATTAACATACTGTCTGTTCCTTTTCCCCTTGTATGTTCATCTAGCTTTTTCTCAAGTTGTTTATTGGATGTGGGTATTGCTGGCTAGGTCAACATTCATTCCCAATCCCTAATTTTCATGGAGAGGATGGTGGTGTAGTGATTTATTAGAACTGAGGCCATTTCAGAGGACACTTGAGGAGACTGCTCTGGGTCTGGAGTCACACATAGGCCAGACTGAGTAGTTTGGCAGATTTTCCTTCCCAACGGGACACTAGTGAACCAGAGAGGTTTTTATTTCAAATAGTAATGGTGACATGGTCGCCATGGGTAGCATTTTAATTTCAGATTTTATTGAATTTAAATTTCATCATCTGCCATGGTGGGATTTGATCCTGCAGAACACTAATCTTGGGACTCTGTGTTACTCGACCAGTGACATTACTACGATGTCACCACCTCAATAATCCCGATGCTAATCGCCTCAACTATTCTATGTTCCCTTCTTATCTCTGCAATCTCATTCAGCTCAAAGGTATCTGTGCCCCTCTAATTCTGGCCTCTTGATGACATCTGATTTTAATGGCTATTCACTTAATATCTAGGCCTTCAGTTGCCGAGGCCCTAAGCTCTGGAATTCCCTCCTTACAACTGCCTGCCTCTCTACCACCTTTGAGATGATCTTTAAAACCTATTGTATTGACCAAGGTTTTGGTCATCTAACCTAATGTTTCCTCTTGGTTTGGTGTCACATTTTAATTTATAATCCTCGTATGAAATGCCTTGGGACATCTTATGTTAAAGGCACTATATATAAATGTAAGTTGCTTTTGTGGTAGCGAGTTTGAGATTCTTATCATTCTAGATGAAGCAGTTACTCCTTTATTCCCCATTAGATTTCTGAGTAATTCTTGTATTTTTGACCCCTGGTTTTGGTTTTGGCCCCTAGTCTTGGTTGCCTGTGTGTGTAGAAACATCTTTCAATTTCTACTCAATTAAACTTTCTCAATCCTAAGGGTCTCTGTGAGGTCTCCCAACAGTCTTTGTTTGATGTACAAACCTCATGATAGACTTAACTTCTCCGTTCTGGTAAATGTTTTTGTATCTGCTGCAATGTTTCTATATCCTGTTTATAAAATGGAGACAAGAACTCTAGCACACAGTGCTCCAACTCTAATCTAACCAAAGTCAAAAATATGCCCAAGTCTTTCCAGGTCTGTGGTGGAGTTCATGGAAAATATTTTTGATGTGTATCTCCTCATATTGGCCTCATTTTCTGTTCCTGTGACTGTGCTAAAATTGATCTGATTGTAGTTTTAGTTGTTAACAAGGTAGTTTAAAATCTTGTAACTTGCCACACAAATCTTTTACAAAGTAAATATTTTTCTTGTGCTTTACATTTGTGTGGTAAATAACTTTGTTAACATACCAATTAAGACATTATTTCCCCTTTATCTCACTGCTGTGGCTGTGGGTTTTAAGTTCCAGACTGGGTAATGTTTAAATTTGACAACCATACAAATGTCTGACTTGTTTTCTGTATAAACCAGATAACTTTGTAGGGTGTGTCAAACTATCTGCATTGTAATTCGTAACCAAATAAGAGCTACATGCATGAAGAAAGAAATGAATTGTTAACAGCTAAGATGTGCCAGTAGTAGTTGGGTATTTGTGAGAGTTGCTGGATGTTGTTGAGTTTATTTATTTTAAATGCCCTTGACTCTAAACATTTGGAGTCCATTAAATTCTTCTGGTTCTCCTGTGCTTGACTTGACACACCTTTATAATAAGAAGTAGCTTGATCATTATATGGAATATATGAAATATTTTTAAGACTTTTTGACTTGGTTTTTAACTTGCATTTGAGCTTCTACTAAAGACCCAGTGTTTATTGTTGCCATGGGAACTGATAGCTACTACTTCATCAGTTGCAGTTGTTTGGATGTGGATTTTACCATGTGACTTTTTTTTGTCTTTCAGGTTCATCGGCTTGTAGTAGTTGATGAAAAAGAAAGTATTGTGGGAATCGTCTCATTGTCCGACATTCTGCAGGCTCTTGTTCTCACCCCAGCAGGTATAGATGCACAATATTCCTAATCTCCTGGAGTCTGACCTCTGACCCCTTCCTCTCGGCACTCAGGTAGGGTACACCAGGGTATGTTGTACCCGCTCAGCTTGCTGAGTCAGCATTGGCTGCTGGAATCCCCTTTGCTATCTGCTGATTTGACTAAACAGCCTTTGGCATGGTCAGTATGGCTGAAGATGCAGGTGCTTTTGACGCTGTACAATTTTATTTTGCCAACAGTATACTGAGAGAATTTTGAATGTGTAACCGGAGAAAGTATGTTCTGTAATGGTGCTTGGTATGCTTTAGAGTGGGCAATGCCCTTGAGTCATAAGTTCTGAAGTTGATATAGCTATGTGGTCTCTTCTATCACAGACGGCATGAAATTCCGTTGCATGTTGGATATGTTTATTATCATTAGTGATTCATCAAAACTTACATTTGTATACATTCACTTAGGTATTTACTAGGGCAAGTAGTTACAGAGCATTCGGACACTTTGCCAGAGCGAGAGAAATCAAAAGCCTGGTCTCACGTTTTTGAAGGCAGGGAGGCGGCCGTAGGGGATGAAGTTAGTGAAAGAGGGAGCTCCAGCAGATGGGGACAAGGTCGTGAGAAATCGACCTTTGGCAGAGGCCAGAGTATGAACAGCAACATGAGTGGAGCCAGGAAAGGATGATCCCATCAGAGAATTTGAAGGTTAAAACAAGAAACTTGTTTTACTCGAGTTTAGGAAGCTGATGAAGCTAGATGGGGGCAGGCAAGTGTGGCTACTAGTAAAAGGATTACCTTGTAATTCATGAATGGTTGAAGCAAGAAGACAGTCAGGAACATTGGAGAAATACAGAAGTAAAGAAGCAAAGCTATGAATTAGGATTTTAATGATGGGGTGTTTGGTATAAAGCTGGTGGGTTGTGGTGATAATAGGAAATGGTCCCAATCCAGGATGTATGAGATATTATAAACTCAGGTTCAACAAGGAACAGTGCAACTCTGGAGACATGCTGAAGTTCGCAGGAGCTAAAGGGTGACTTTTCATCACTAACGTGGAGCAAGTTCAGACTCTGTGTTGATATTCAGTAAAAACATCAAAAGTTAGGAAGTTGCTGATTCGGGCACTCTTATCACCCATATAATTTGAATCTGATAAGTATATCCTTGCTGTGGCCATGAATTTCCTTACTAATTTAAAAGTACTTTGTCTAACAAACACATTCACTGGCACTAAATGTGATGTGAGATAACAGCTTGCATGGAATCAGGATGGAAGCACAAGTACACTGCATGTATCTAAATAGAGAGATAATTCAATTTCTTACTACAACTAATGCTGATGAAAAGCATGACCAGTAAAAGCTGTTTGCTACCAAATATCCTATTTGTGTTTATATTGCAGCCTTACCTCCTCTTTGTGAATCCCTCAATGATTTTAGTTTTCTTCCAATGAAAATCAGAGAGGGAATTCAAGATTGTGAAATTTGTTTTCTTGCTCTTTCTGACACCAGTGAGTAAGACTGCCCTCTGTTGTCATATCAGTACAAGCATTTTGTCATTAATCTAATATTAGTGTAATCCTGGAGCCATTTGTTGCAAGCCTTGTTTCAGTTCAGTCTGTGTCTGTGCAGCATGGAAAACAGTTTGCGGGGCTGGGGGGGCCCCCAATTTATGAACATCTGACTTATGAACGCTAATACTCATAAACGCTATCCTGTACAAGGGTGTAATTTTAAAAACCTAACACCTGAACAGCTGTTTTATGTTATCCTGTAGACAAATCAACTTGCAAACAGACTCTAGAACGGAATCCATTCACAAGCTATTGACTGGCTTACAGTGTGATTGTTACAGTGTTTGAACACAGGAGCCTGTGACCAATATGGTCAAGACAAAATGAGTTGACAGGACAGCAGACGTTGTGTTCTTATCAATATCAACATTTGAAAGCTAGAATGTGTTTCAGTAAATGCCGCTTAAAAAGGTGATCCATTTATTATCTGGACATTTCTATCTTCATATTTAAAGATTGATAATTCAGATGGGTGTTATGCCTTAATCTTTATTCTCAGATTAACGTTAGTCCTTTTCACTAGTTAGTAGAACTGCACAAGAAGCATTCTATTACAACTCATTGGGGAGCACACTGGAAATGCAGCCCCACTATCCCCAGAGTCATCACAAAAGTTGAAAATGTTATCAAAGTTTGTAATGCCCCCACTTTACTGCCAAATAACGCCAGGCTAACAGAAAACATGGACCAGGGTTCTGTATTTACAAGAGCTGCTATTTATTAATACATAACTTAACAAATAAATAGATTCTAACCACAGATAAACAATTATGAACTGTTGACATATACCAATTAAAACTCTAACTCCTTTCCAAAACTCCCATACACACATACACAGAATAAATAACATTGGTCTTATGGGTGGAGGGAGAAAATACTAGGGAAGATTTAATATCCCCAGTCTACAGGAAGTGCTGGGATGAACCTTTAGCTGCCAGGATTGTCTGTTCTTCAATTTCTCTACAGGTTCTTTTCACATCTTTTCATGAGGCACAGGTTTATTATACTAACTACAAAATCTCTGTGTTACTGGTTTAAGGCCCAAGCTTACAGCAACTGGTGAGGAAAAATAAACTGGCTTCCTTCAGGCTGTGGATATTTTACTGGAGAGAGAGACAGAGAGAGCACCTGCACTTGCAGCAGTCCCAGTATCGTTCACACCCACAAGCTGTTCAGCTACTCAGGAGCCAATAGCATAGTTGTCTTCAGGCTGATGGCATATGCCAGTTACAACTGATCATTTCTCCACAAACCAAACAGCAATGTGTTTCCAGCCAAATTGCACCTTGTACACACCCCTGGTGTTGGCTGATTCGTTGATCTTACATAAGAAAGCTCGGGCAATCTTCAACGTTGAGTAAGTAGGAAATTTGCAAAGCTGTATTGTTAGATAAATTGGAGGCATTGAGATTTAGATTTACTTTTCTCATCTGATGACCATAGGTAGATCATTATTATTTAGCATAGAGGTTTATTTGTGCATTACTTGCAACAGCAAAACTTTCACTTATTATACTGTCTTTTAGAGTATAATTAAAAAATGCCTTTGTGGCCTCGCATCACAGGAAGATAAGCTACAGAAGAGAATATTAGTCGAAGTGAACAAAAGCTTGATCAGTGGTGAATATTAAAAGGATCCTAGAGGAGGAGAGGGGAGTAGAAAGATGGATGCAGTTTTCACTGAGTTCCAATTTGGTGACTGGCTTCCTGTTCTTCCAGATATTTTTATTGGATCTAGAAAAACATGCATTATGTCTCAGCACATTAACAGTGCACAACATTTATTTTCTTTTTAATGAGACCTTTTCCTTTTTCAGAAAAGCATATGACAAACTTATGTTTTATAATTTACAGGTTCTATAAGAAAAGAAAGCATTGCAGAATGACTGATTACAATGGGCATAGAACGTGCTTGACAAGAACTCTTTGAAGCTTCTTATTCTGTTCAGGACCAGATTGAATGCTGGCTACTACAGAGAAGAGAAGGCACATGACTGCGAAATCAGGAAACTGAAACAGTTTGATCAAACACTGTAGTTGCATCTGATAAGTACTAGTGACAATATCTGACCCAAATTGATGATCTTGCTCACTGAGTAGCTATGCAGATACAGCTGTAATGTTGCAATTAAGATTTTGACAGAATTTATTTTGCAAAAATATTAGCAACTGTACCTAAAAGATATTTTTAAACTATGCGTTAAAGCCAGAGTGATTCAAATGGCTATTTATTTCAAGTAGTTTGCTGGTGACCTTTTCAAGACTTGGATTGGCAACCAGCAAACATTACTGTGTTTAATTGTCATAAACATTTCTAAACTTCAAAATCAGTTTGGACCTGCTACAGCAGTTACCTGCTGACACACACATCTTAATTCTCCAATTCAACACAGTAAGAAAACTGCTAACTGTACTGTATTGTAAATAGGAAGTTATTGAGGGAAAACGTGCCAGAGAAAGGTATATTTTTCGGTGTATGCAAATGTAAAATTATGTTTGTACGATTGCACATTTAATTTTTTTGTAAATTATATTGTTTTCATATGGCTGCAAGGATGGGGGATTGTTTTTGTCCTTGTAAATGCACAAAGGCATGAAACTGACACTATATATTGTAGATTTTTTTTGTTTGAAAGGCGGGGAAAGGAAAGGGAATGATACTTGGCTGTTCTGGAGATTTGTTGGGGCATGAGAAGAAACACTTGGTTTTGTGGCAAAACCTCATTAAAGTAATAATGCACTTTAAAAATGGACATTCATTAATTGTGTAGTGAATTCACACAAACGTGATGCAAGTTGATATTTGCATTGGGCTCAGCCCAGCCCTGTAGTTTTGAAGTATCTCCTGTAGGGGGTAAAACTGACACACAACTTCAAATTGCTGTGTGGGTCGTTACCTCACAATAACTGTCTTTCCAGTGGAAGGTGTCTTCTGCAAATCTGATCTTGATGAGGGAGGCGAGGCTTTAGATGAGGCTACTGAATTTAGTCGGCTTTGAAACTTACACTGTCTTTCCTCTGTGTCTGACACCAAGGAGGGGAAGATCAAAAAAAAAATTAATCATTGGTGGTGATTCAGTAATGTCAGTGAATTCTGTACTTCCACTCTGTAAGGATTGCGTAATTAAAAGTGAACAGTGTATTTATGACAGGAGTGTGCAGTATCTCTGGTACTTCACCAAAACTTGAAAAGCATGATGATGTCCTCCTCAAGCAACTTTCATCTACAAATACTTGAGCAGAGGACCTTTAGAAGTTTGCTCATGCCAGTCCTAGTTTATGTTCCCAGCCTTTTTATCTGGGTTGATGAAGTTTACATCACAATGTTGGATTTTAAGTGCCATTAAAATTATTCGATCTAAAATTGGTGTGAACTGAGTCTAAATGTAGCGTATTAAAACATCTTGTATCATACTTTGAATGCTGTCCTGCATTTCTTCAGTGCATTATCATATGTATACAATATTGTACATCTTTAATGTTGAATAAACGAGATTATTGCCAGGTGCAACTAAATGGCTTTTGCATTTTTTTTTAAAGTGGCCATGGTCACTGAGCTCCATATCCATCGCTGGTGCCTCATCGCTGCATCAAGTACAATGTACACAGGACGCAATACAGGGCAGCGACACAAAGATTCACTCAGTAGTTCATTTTCCCCCTTAACCTTGACTATCAAGAGGAAAAAAAACATTGTGGGCACACATCACCTCAAGTCTCAATTCAAGTTACACATTCTTGATTTGAACATGTATCACTATTCCTCACTGATGCTGGTTCAGAACTCAGGAATTCCAAGCCATGACATGGGAGTGCTGTCAACAAAAAAACTAGTTCATTTAGGAGATCTAACTCCATCCTTTTCAGGGCAACCAGTCAATGAATGCAGACTTGACAGCATTGTTTGCCATTCTAGAACAAAACAATTCCTAAAATTCTGAAGGTGTTCCTCTTCAAGTGCAATTAGAAGATGGTTATCTAACTGGAGAGAAACTGAACATTGGGGTGTGGTCACCTGAGTCTTTTGCCACACAAATTGCACATAATCCATCTGCCCACTCCCGGGCCAGCAATGCTGCTGTTAGATGGTTTATGCTCGTTCCACTGCTACTTTTGAAATACAAGCCACGTTGTTACAATAAGGAAAAATAGTTCAGTCCCAACTGGTCAGTTGAATGTTCACCCTTGATTATCTGCAACTTTAAACCTCCATCTTTTGGGGTACTTTCGGTCCCTGTTATTACCCATTGGGATAGTGTTCCATAAAGTGAGCCTGGCTATTCTCAGACCATACCAAATGTTAAACTTATTTTTAAAGTTATGGACAGTACCCCAATTTACCTGACTTCCTGAACAAAACTGATAGAAAGCATGAACCAGGTTTCTGTACTAAACACAAATTATTTGTTATATATATCATTCAGACAATAGCTACAAGTAAACAGATATATACATTGGTTGAAAACATTACTAACTAAAACTCTAATCCCATTATAAACCCCCCACCACCCCTTCCATACATACAAACAAATGGAGAAAATAAATTATTGGCAGAGGTACAAAAAACTGGAAGGTCAGTTCAGTAGTCTTTGCTTCCTGATTCTAGTGTGGAGATGATCCATCTTTGGCTAGCCAGGCCTATTGTGTTATCTTTTTCTGGAAGCTTCCACTGATCTGTTTGGAGCACAGAGTGATAAATTCACTTGGAAAATGTCTCTGATTTAACAATTCAAAAAATTAGAGTTCACAGCAACTGCTGCAGAAAAGGTTTTCAAGTTTAAGCAGTTTTTTTTACTGCAGAGAACAGGCAGTCTCCACTGAGGGGAGTAACTGCACACATTGTATTTTTCTGACTCTGTGTCTCTAAGTTGTTTCCAGTTTCAAACTGCTCAGTTAGTTGAGAACTTGTTTCACTTGTAAACAGCTCCTTGGTTCCTGATCATCTACACATTGCAGGAACCCATATCTCCAAAAATAGGTATTAAATAGTGTGAAAGTATGCAGCCGTCTGGGTAAAACCCTTCTTTCTAAAAAAAAAAGGTTCTTTCTCTTTGCAATCCACAGCTTTTAAATCAAAACAAAAATATAAAAGGTAGGGTTCTTACATCTGCCTTATCCATATCATTCGTACAAGCTTATACAATATTTCACAACCATGGGATTCTATAAAATGTCCTACCAATCAATTGTTTCTTTTCTAAATTCAGTCACTATTAAATTAGGAATCAAGGTAGCCAATTTGCACAGTACAACAAACCAGTAACGGCTTGTTTGGGATGTCATTTGAGGGATGAATATTAGTTGGAGATCTCTTCCCCTCTGAGAGAACACTATTAGAACATAGAACAGTACACCACAGTACAGGCCCTTCGGCCCACAATGTTGTGCCGACCTGTTATCCTACTAAGATCAATGTACCTGCATATCCTACATTATACTATCATCCATGTGCCTATCCAAGAGTTGCTTAAATGCCTCTAATGTATCTGACATTACATCGTATACAATGGACAGACTTTGGTTTAATGTCCTCAGAAACCACAATTATTTATGTTTTGAGGAAGGGTCAACGGACCGGAACATTAACTCTGATCTTTTCTTTGCAGATGCTGCCAGACCTGCTGAGCTTTTCCAGCAACTTCTGTTTTTGTTCCTGATTTACAGCATCTACAGTTGTTTCAGTTTTTATTATTCATTGACCATTTTGTGAGAACAGACGTTGAAACAGATTCGATAGACATTTTAAATTGAGGTCTTAGAAACTTGCAACTTTATTGAATTGTGCATAAGATGGAAAGGAATGATATTTAAATTATTGGATAAGTGAAAGAATTATTTTGCCACAATGAGAAAAAGACACTTCCTCAACCAGGAAATACAGAAAACATCCAGATGACTTGAAGCAAAATTGCAACAATCTTTCATCTCTCAGATAATTTCATAAAAAGTGTGCTTGTTAATTAAGCATTCAGTATCTGTTTTTGAAGAGGAAGGAAGGAAATTATCAGCCAGAGAGAGAGAAGCCCCAGTAACAAGCCAAGAGGAGGGACTTGATGGATTTAATTTGTCAAAAGTATGGCACTGGAGAAATTAATAGGATTAAAATAGATGCATCTGGGACCTGTTGTTTTGCACACCAAGGTTTTGAAAGACATGAAAATAATTAGAGATGCATCTGTCATAATCTTCAAAAACTCTTCAAATGCAAGAGGTTTAGGAGAGATTTGAGGAATTCTTTTTACACGCAGAGAGTAGTGGGAATCTGTCTGGGGTAAAGAAGTGGGGTAGTTGAAGTGGATAACCTTACAACCTTTTAGAGTGGCATGGTAGCTCAGTAGCTGTACTGCTGCCTCATTACACCAGGGACCCAGGTTCAATCCCACCTTTGGGTGATTAGCTATGTGGGGTTTGCATGTTCTCCCCATATCTGCATGGGTTTCCTCCCACAGTCCAAAGATATGCAGGTTGGGTGGGTTAGCTATGGGAAATACAGGGTTAGGGTTGGGGGGGGTGAGTCTGGGTGGGATGCTCTTTGGAGGGTTGGTGTGAACTTTTGGGCCAAATGACCTGCTTCCACACTGTAGGGATTCTATGGACTTTGTACTTTGTAGTTGCTAAAACAATGGCCTTTAAATTGATTTCAATCAAGATTTTGTTTTGGTTTTTGCTTCACAACGTGTGGCCTGAACTCAAGGATGTGTATAAAACCATCGGAAGTCTTAATCGTTTACAAGTGAACACTTAAATCTTGACAAAAAAAGTTGCCCTCTCACGGATATGTATGTGAATGCTGCTAGTCTTACTCTCAATCTCTCAAACCAGAGCACCTACGCAAACAAGGGGCGAATGTTAGCTTAACTTCGGTCGTGGGGAAAATGCTTGAATCTATCATTAAGGAAGAAATAGCAAGACATCTGGATTTAAATTGTCCCATTGGGAAGGTAGGTCATGTTTAACTAATTTGGTGGAATTCTTTGAGGACATTACTTGCATGGTGGACAATGGGGAACCTGTGGATGTGGTGTATCTGAATTTCCAGAAGGCATTTGACAAGGTGCCATACCAAAGGCTGCAACATAAGATAAAGTTGCACGGTATTACAGGTAATGTATTGGCATGGATAGAGTATTCGTTGACTAGTAGAAAGCAAAGAGTAGGGGTAAATGGGTGTTTTTCTGGTTGGTGGTCAGTGGCTAGTGGTGTGCCTCAGGGATCAGTGTTGGGACCGCAATTGTTTACAATTTACATAGATGATTTGGAGTTGGGGACTAAGTGTGGTGTGTCAAAATTTGCAGATGACACTAAGGTGAGTGGTAGAGCAAAGTGTGCAGAAGACACAGAAAGTCTGCAGAGGGATATAGGTAGTCTAAGTGAGTGGGCAAAGGTCTGGCAGATGGAGTACAATGTTGGTAAGTGTGAGGTCATCCATTTTGGTAGGAATAACAGTAAAATGGACTATGTTTTAAATGGTAAAAAATTGCAGCACGCTGCTGTGCAGAGGGACTTGGGTGTCCTTGTGCATGAATCACTAAAGGTGGGATTGCAGGTGCAGCAGGTGATTAAAAAGGCAAATGGAATTTTGTCTGCCATTGCTAGAGGGATGGAGTTTGAAAACAGGGAGGCTATGCTGCAGCTGTATAGGGTCCCGGTGAGGCCACACCTGGAGTACTGTGTGCAGTTTTGGTCTCCTTACTTGAGAAGGGACATACTAGCACTGGAGGAGGTGCAGAGGAGATTCACTCGGTTGATTCCAGAGTTGAGAAGGTTGGATTATGAGGAGAGACTGAGTAGGCTGGGATTATACTCATTGGAATTCAGAAGAATGAGGGGAGATCTTATAGAAACATATAAGATTATGAAGGGAGTAGATAAGGTGGAGGCAGGGAGGTTGTTTCTGCTAGCAGGTAAAACTAGGACTAGAGGGCATTGCCTCAAAATAAAGGGAAACAGATGTAGGACTGAGGTCAGGAGGAACTTCTTCACCCAAAGGGTTGTGAATCTGTGGAATTCCCTGCGCAGTGAAGCGGTTGAAGCTACCTCGCTGAATGTTTTTAAGGCAAGGCTAGATAAATGTTTGAACAGTAAAGGAATTGAGGGTTATGGTGAGTGAGCGGGTAAGTGGAGCTGAGTCTCAAAAAGATCAGCCGTAATCTTATTAAATGGTGGGGCAGGCTCGAGGGGCCAGATAGCCTACTCCTGCTCCGAGTTCTCATGATCAAACCCCACACAGACAGTCACCCAAGGCTGGAACTGAACCCGGGTCCCTAGCACTGTGAGGCAGCCATTGACTTAATTTCAACTGTTGACAGTGACATGGCTCAGATTCCCACTCGTGGGCTCTAGTGATTGAATAAGTAAAGATCTCACTAAAAATATTCTCTGAGGATCCGTGTCATTGACCTCAAATGTAGGAACCTCCTTACATTTGTTTAATGCTGAGTCAAATCATGAATTATGATTTAGTTCTGAATGAAAACAAAGTCCTGAACAGCTGACATTTCATCCCATTCT